TCCTAGGGATTGAGAGATGGGTCAGGGTATGAGGGACAGAGGTGGGTGAGCATATGGACCACAGTGGAGAAAATACTAATGAAATGGGGGGGTCTCTAACTGAGGAAGGCTCCAGGGACAGCCATTGGCCAACATGCTCACTGATCCTTAAACATTATGCCTATGTATGTGGATGTATGTTTGTTTCACTGTATGTGTGTGTGCCTATGTATGTGGATATATGTTTGTTTCACTGTATGTGTGTGTGTCCCTGGATGTGGAGATCAGAAGACAACCTTGACCAACCTTTCTGCATGGGTTATGAGACTCGAACTCAGGTCCTCACACTTTCACAAGAAGCATTTTACCAACCAATCCCTCTCCTCAGTCCTCCTTTATTAATCTTCTTAAAAAGCTTTTGGCCCCTAGAAAGTGGGTCCTTTGTCCCGTCATGTCACTTTCTACAATTTCCCAAGCCTTCAACGAGGGTACCCTGCAATGCTGAGTCACCCCTTGGGATCCACTCATTTCCCTGGCTGCCTCCCCAGGTCCACGAGGGCTAAGCCAGGCTGCTGTTGGTAAACTGCTGCAGGTTTCTGCCCTTGGCCACAAGTGTCTGGGTTGATAAGAACTTGGACAAGATAGAAAACTTTTCTCTCTCTACAGAGGCAACACCGTCTTCTACAGGTGCCTTCCTTCACTGGACACAACTTGCTTGAAGTGTTACCACTGCCCCCTCAACACAGTTTTGAGACAGTTCATAGAACAGTGACAAGGATAGCCCTCCATGGATCAGACACCCCTCCCTGAGAGGGTGTCTAGCGTTCCACTGAAGGGTATCCCCCATTTCAAAGACTTCAGGTCATTCTCCAAAGTTATGCTGACAGTCATCTAGGGACTTGTCACCCTTCCTCAAAGGGCAATTGGTGGCACCTGGTAGCTGAAGGAAAGAGCTAGAAGTAGAAGTCACTCCCTGTGGGTGCAGCCCAGCCTGACTTTTTCCTCTCCAACCTTCCCCTCCTGTACGGAGGGGCCAACATCTACATACACATATGTACCTGCGCACGTGCACACACATACACACACACACACACATGCACATAGACACAGTTCACACACACAGTCACACATGGGCACATGAACATGCAGACACAGACCTCTTTCCCTTTGAGGTATTCCTCTCATTTCTTGGATGATAAACCTTGATAACTAATCCATTACTTAAGAAAAAGACTCTGACTCCCTCTTCTCCTCCTAGAAATCATGAGAAAAAAATGGACAAGAGGAAGGTGGAAAGTTCATTTTGCTCTATTCTTTAAGGTGGCAAAGAAAATGAAAAGACACAAAAAATTGAATTGGTCTATTAAGTTAAATCGTAAGTTCAATTAATTGAGTAAGATTAAAATTCTATACCCAAACCCTGACTCTATTCCAGTCTGGGTTCAATGTCACCTTCTTGACCAGCCCTTCCCTGACTGCCTTGTCTCTGAGTCCACCCCACCGTCCCTCACTGCTCCCTTCTCAGTCTGTCCTTTCTCTTCTGGTACACAGACGGCTTGCTGATCATCTCTTATCCATTGTAGCCTGTCAACTCTTTGGAGATGGAGACTTTAGTCTCTCCTGTTCAATATCCTCAGCTCTGACAACCATGCCTGTCACATAATAAGTACCCAGTAAAGAGTTGCTGGGTGAGTGGATGACTGAAAATCACCTGAATCACTGGCGTCTTCCCTACTTGATGCTCCAGCTGGACTTGGGGTGTCCCACTCCCATTATCTAGCCTCTGAGGGGAACTTCCATTTTCTCCCTTTATAACATGAAAAGTTCCAGAGTTCTGAAGAATGAATAAAAATGCTGGGGTCCCTTACTCTGAGAGCTAAATGGATTGATGCTCAATTGTTCCCAGATGAGAAGTTCAGGTTCCATAAGACCCAAGGCCTATACATTGATAGGCAGAGAAACCGCCTTCATGGGGGAAGTAATCCCAGAAAAGCAGATATGATTGTTTTACCCAGAATGAGAAATCACATCAAGTCTCTGACTAGAGCCTGGAGCCTCTGAGTTCCCTTCCCTTCAGTATCTCTCTAGGCAGTTTGCCAGAGGACTCGCACAGACATGCCTCCTGGTTACAACCTCTCCTGCTGTACCACAGCTCTGTACTCTCAAGCAGCTAGTTAGAAATGCAGACTCTCAAGACCCACAAAGACAAGGTTGGTTTCTGCAGTAAGGTCCTAGGCCTTGACTCTTACATAGCACTGAATGACCCAGACCCAGAACCTCATGGAGCCTCAACACCACCTAGTAAATGACCTTGGTCCCTCAAAGTCCAGATGCCTCCTACCACGTCTGGAAGACGTGTGGTGCCCTCATGCAGTAAACAGAAGTGAGCAGTCTGTGTAGTGTGCCTGAAACATCCAGGGAGGTGAGAGGGACAGAGGCCATCTGTGCCCTTCCACATCTCCTGAGACTTACACTTGTGGCATGTTCTCCGGTGGACTTTGTGCAACGGCCGGCCTCTCTCCAGCAGGAAAGGCTGCCAGCGCCACTCCCTTTGAAGCACTCAGCTGAAAACTAAGGACAGCTGTAGGAATGGCCCTGGTCTGCCCTGGCTTAGGAGCTTCCCGGCAGAATGCAGAATCAAGCTCCCACGGCGGTAACTTTCGAGAGAACATCTTGTCTCTTATCCCTCAATCCCCACCGTAAGTAGTTTCTGGAGTCCTTTCCAAACAACCATTTGAGCACACTCTCCATCTGAGGCTGTGCCACTGGGGAACAATAACTTGGTCTGGATGGGAAAGGGTGGCAGCTGGCATCCCAAGCTGCTTTTCCTACTAGGAACCATGGGAACATCTGCCAAACCAGGCCCACTATCAGTTTGCCTCAGCACAGATCAGAAGCTGAGGACAGTGTTGGAACCTGGACCTCCTGCTGTCAGAGCTTTGGCTTAGCTCTTCCAGGGCTCACTAGGGGTTTCTCAGCCCAGTGGTAGGAGGCAAGTAACACCTTGCTGCAATTGTTTGGTGGGGAGGGGACTGTGTAACATTTAGCAGTGTCTCCGGTTTCTGCTCCCACCCTGTTTGTAGATGTTGTCACATGCCCTCAGAGTAGAAGAGGACACACAAATCTCCTCCCCCCTCCCCCTCCCCCTCTCCCTCCCCCCTCCTCCCCATTAAGAACCCTGGGCCAGAACCTTCTGAGTAACAGCAAACAAAATTCAGGCTCCCCATGATCCACCTACAAGAAAGAATGTAGCCCCTAGTTCAGCTCCAACCAGCCTTGCCATCTGTCAACACTCTTTCTGCAAGCTGGGTTTCAGATTGCTTGCTGATGGCCAACTTGGGATCATTCAAGTTTGGGGGTTTCTTGAAAAGAGAGAGAGACAGGGAGAGAGAAAGAGAGAGACAGACAGAGAGAGAGAGAGAGAGAGAGAGAGAGAGAGAGAGAGAGACAGAGAGAGAGAGAGAGAGAGAGAGACAGAGAGAGAGAGAGAGAGAGAGAGAGAGAGAGAGAATATCCCGCTTCTCGCTTCTCAGGATTACAGGGTGCCCTCTTGTGGCCAGAGATTTGTCCTCTCTGGCTCACCTCCAAATTCCAGGCTGACCTGGAAAGATCTGGAGGGGAGTGGGGAAGAAGAAGGGATACAGGTACCTTCTAGAAAAACCTATTTTCTTTTGTTTTTTTCTCCCCAAGTGAGAAACATTCAGCAGGATCTTCCAAAGCTGCTTATTGAGTAAGTTTTCTCCTGCATGTTCTATGTTTGTGTGTAGATGCATGTTTCTTTGTGCAAGCTTGTGTGTACATGTTTGTGTCTTCCAAAGTCAGCCTAGCAAAGAAGAATGCGGTGAAGCAGTCTCTGGGAAGGGGCTGCCTGCTACGCCAGCCTTCAGGAGGGCAGAGGGCAGCCAAGGGACCTGTCCAGACACAGTGGGCTGCACTCAGGACTGGGAAAGAGGCAGTGACTGTCTTTGATAGTCTTCGTCCTTCCTCAAGTATCCTGGTCATCTGAACTCCATCTTTTCTTGGTTCACCCCTTGTGTCGCTGGTTGGTCTCTAGAGAGAAGCAGCCTCGGGGTGTAAATTTCCCAGGCTTCTTTCATCTCCCCAGGGAAGGGAAATGGAAGGAAGCACCAATCCTTCTCCTGTAGGGTAGTGTTTGGGAGCTGCAGGTGTGTGCACACAGAGGAGACTGGAAAGCTTGGGAGCTGTTCAGGCCGGAAGAGGGATGATTGGCTACATCGCTGAAACCTTCAGGCTATGCAGGAAGCTGTAACACTGCTAGAGTGGTAATAAGAGAAATAGTGAATGCAGACAGTGCTAGTGAAAGACCTGTTGGGGGTTCTCTGCATGCATTATTTTAAGATAAGTCTTCAGTGAGCAGAGCCGCCTCTCCCAAGTCCTCAAGAGAGCGGCAGGCAACTGGCTTCGGTTTCTGGGCTGGAACCCTGTGTGTAGCACAGGGGCCAGATAATAGACACGAGTACACTGTGTTTCTTGAATGACGGTGTTAGGCTGGGATTGAAAGAGATTTCAAAGACAAGGGAAAGAGAGCAGTCAGGGTAAGGAAGCAGTATAGGGCAGACAGAACTTGCAGAGTGTTGGGGGACAAGGGAAGGCCTCTGAAACTCGGGGGGAAAAAAGCTCTTCAAGTCAGACAGCAGGGAAAAATTCTGGAGGTTGCCAAGGGTTTCCAGAAGCCAAAGAGCAAGTGATCTGAATTTCCCCAGTGAAATATCCTCTAGGACTTCCTAGAGTTCCTAGCCCCACCTTCTTTTCCTTAACTGATGTTTTAAAAGCCTAGACTGCCTACTCATGATCTTAAAAAATAGATATAAGGGTTCAATTCCAGGATAACGGAGAAATTAAAGAAGGGCCGTTTACGGTACTGTTTGGCTTGGATTTGGAGGTGGGGTGGGGGGTCATCAGGAAAGAGTCAGGTTCTTAGTAAAAACCACCTGGATATGAGACACACAGAGCACAGGTCCACTGCTTGGGGCGTAACTGGGACACAGTGGCTGTAAGTGTGACCGGTTTCATGCCTGATTTTATTGATATTTTAATCACTTTCCCAAAAGGCAACATCTAAAATAAAACCTCAGACAGAATGGGGCATTGAAGCACGCACTTCTAATTCCAGTGCGTAAATAGAAGCAGCAGGATTGTGAGTTCAAGGCCAGCCTGGGCTACGTAGCAACATCTAGAACAACCTAGGCTTCACAGTGGGACCTTACCTCATATACACAAAAACATTCAAACAAAACAAAATGCAGTTGTGCCCTTGACTTACACAATAGGTGTGTTTCTAGAAGGTTCCATACATGCCAAAACTACAGAGGAGACATTTTTGTGCCTGTGTGTAGGAAAGGGGTAGAGACAGAGCACGTGGGACAGCTGGTGTCTGATCCATGATGTCTGGGCCCCCTCCTGGAATCCCCACAGGCTGAGGTATCCAGTCATCTGAAGGCTTGCCTGGGCTGGTTTCATGGTCTGTCTCCTTCCTGGGTGTCTCGTACAACTGTGCAGGCTCTCTGCCACTGACAGAGTACTCGATAGAATTCTGCTTCCAAGAAGGAGAGCCTTGTTTGGGCTCACAGAGTCAGAAGTCGCATTCCTGGTCAGCAGGCCCATTACTCTGGAAGATGTGGTGAGACAGCATACCATGCAGGGAGGATGTGGCAGAGTGGGCATCTTCTTTCATGGTGGCCAGGAAACAAAGGAGAGATAGGAAAGGGCCAAGGTTCCAATATCCTCTTCCTGGATGTGGCCCCGCCCCTGCCAGCTAACTTCCTCCCACCAGGCTCTGCCTCTTTGAGGTTCGAGCACCTGGCAGTGGTGTTACAGACATAGGACCTGGTCTTCTGTACATGGGCCTTTGGAGATCGAAACTGTAGCAGCCCCGCAGCTGGCAGGTCCTTGGAGTCTCGGTGGGAGGCTACAGTTGTTGCCTGTGTAGACTCCCTGCAATGCTGCTAGGGTATCCCCACAGCATGGTCACTGGTTTCCCCAGAGTGAAATGAGGGGCAGAGAGAACTATTCTCTTTCTAAAGACTTATTTACTCATATATTTGTTGTGTGTATGTGTGAGTGTGTGCAGCTGTATGCACCAGTCTGTGCCCACAGAGGCCAGAAGAAAGCCTCAGTTTCTCTTCCAGCATCTGCCCATTCTTTGAAGACAGGGTCTCTAGACTGGAAGTCAGCCAACCCAAGAAATCTATCTCACCACCTTCCTTGGAGCTGGGGTTACAGGTGTGTGTGGGATAGCTGGCTTGTTACACGGGTCCTGGGATCTGAACTCTGGTCCTCATGTTTGTCCAGGAAGTGCTCTTAACTGCTGAGCCAGCTGGCGGCACCATTCTTGAAGCTGTACAGTCACCCCCTGGCCTTGTGCCTTGGTAGGTCTAGCTCATCGCACACGCCAGGCTCCTTCCAGCTCAGCGCCTGTGCTCCAGCTGTGGGTGTGCAGAGCAGTCTTCTCCTGTATATCCCAGTTTCTTTATTCTGTTCTCACCACTGCCTCCTTCTTCATTCCAGAGCCGTCAGATCCCCTTGGAGAGCGGCTTAATTAATTGGGGACATTTGTTGCAGTTTACTTTTAGGTTTGTGGGATCATTTGTTTGGTTTCAGCTTCCTCGGCCCAAACACAAGCTCAATGCCAGCAGAGAAAGGGAAGAAGGGAGGAAGAGATGGAGGGAGAAAGGAAGAAAATTTTTGCATCAGCCACACAGCTGGGCAGCCTTGGGTCCCACAGCCAAGTTTAGTCTTCCTGGCATGAGCAGCCCCATGTCTCTTGTGGAGGTAAGAAGGGGTGGGAAGGGCCCAGTCGGTGTTGAAATATTGGGGAAGATATACATCTGGCAGTGCCCTCGAATACTTAAAGAGGCATATTAGCTCCCTGGTTCAAAGCAGAGAAGCCCAGCTGCTAATGGTGGTGTTGCTAGGCTGTTGTCGGACATGATTTTCTGTTTCAATTACGGCAGTGTCGGTGATTTAGCAGCCAGGCTGGCACAGAGTCACTCCTGAGAGGTTGGTTCTAACTGCCAATAGGAAAAAGACGGCCTGGGTTTCCCACCTCAATCTCCTGCTCTCTCTCCCTCCCTCCCGCTCTCCTCCTCATTACCTCTCTGTCTTCCCGTCTCACTTTCTCTTCCCACTCCTGACTCCCACTCCGACTCCAGTTCTCCTCACATCAGTCAGCTATTCTTGTCCATTGCGACGCCCTGGTTTAGGCTCTAGCCCAAGCCTCATTGTGGGTGAACTGAGCTTTGAGGGTTGTGACGTCACTCCTTGATTGCCAACTTGACTACATCTGGAATTAACTAAAAAAAGCAAGTCACTGGGCACAGCTGTGAGGGATTTTTTTAGTTAATTGGCTCAGTTAAGGTAGGAAGAGACTCCTTAAATCCAGGTCACCTGAGGTCAGAAGATACAACCTAAATCTAGGCCACACCTCCCTGGGGCAGCCTATATAAGGGACAGGGAAGGAAGGCACTTTAGCTTGCTCTCGCTTCACTGGTGTGAGAGCCGACTTCTTCAGGATTCCCCCATGCACTGAACAACTACTGGATTCTTGGACTTTCCATTTGGAGACAGAGAACTAACTGGACCACAATGTGTAAGTCACTATTATAAACCCCCTTGATATATAGATATAGATTCATTCTATCAGTTCTGTTCCTCTAGCCCCTAATACAGGGGTTCGTGGAAGAACTTGGTAAACACTGGACATTTACTGTTAGTCTGGAGTGGGACTTGTTATTCATATTTTATCTGTGACAAAGTGCCTAAGGAAAATCAACTTAAAGGCGGAAAGACTTGTTGGGTTCTGGTTTCAGTGGCTTTGGTCCATGGTCACTTGGCTCTGTTGCTTCTGGTCGGCACGGTGAGACAGGACATCATGGGGGGGGGGGGGTGTGGTGGGGCCAGGTGGCTCACCTCATGGTATGCAGGAGGCAGAGAGAGGGAGACAGGAAAGGTACGGGAACAGAGGCTTCAGACATGCCCCAAGGACCTGCCTCCTCCAGGGAGGAGCCCCCCTCTGCAAGCTGATTCATCTATGCTGTTATCATGGGCCCATCCATTGATGGGGTTAATGTCCTCATGGTCCAATCAACACCGCCACCATTTGAGATCAAAGGCTTTAAACCGCCATCCTTTGTGCAGCACTTGCTAGCCAAGCCACAGTGAGCTGGAACAGCCTACAGCACATTATCACGGACGATACTCTACAGAGAGCAACCATCGCACCAGGCGGTACTTTGGCTTCCTGCCAGGTGGTCCCAGTACAGTTTCATTGCAGCCTCACAGGGGCCTGGTGCATGCTATTGTTATAATCACCCCCATTTTACAGCTTGAGAGCAGCCGAGTCTCAGAGTGCCCTTAGATGGGCTTTCTAACTAAAGTGAAAGAGTTGGCCTCGGTGAAGCATGGCCTTGGCGCAGATCCACCTGCCCACCCAACTAGAGCTACTTAACCGGTCTCAGCTGTAGGTGGCAGCCATGTCTGATGCTTCGTCTCCTCTGCCCCCATCATGCCTCACTGGCTCTGCCAATAGCATCCCTGAAGGCTTCGGGGTGAATGACAAGATGTGAAGGGCACCGGCCTGGGTAAAAGGGGACATGGTCACGTTCTTCCTGGAGAAACCCTCGGGTACCCCACGGGGGGGTTGTCTCTAGCATCTCCTGTTTGGTGGCTGGAGAGTCCTGACTGTCCAGCACCACGCTTTTACATGGATTTGTACAGTTAAGGAAACTTAGTGACAAGCCCTTTCTTTAGAGGCCTCCAGTGCCAGCTTCACAGACATGAGTGACAGTAAGAGTGGCAGGTACTGAAGTCCTCTGCCCTCTGGGCCCCACAGTTGGTAATGCCCTTGAACTAATAGGCCAGCTACGTCCCCTAACTACTTCTTCAGCCCTTCTGCTCATGGCATACGTTTCTAGTTCCTGTGTTCAGTTCTTTCCTGGTTGAAATGCACAGGGTGGTTTTGTTTCTAGAACTTTTTGGCAAGCACACCCCTCTTTCAGCCTCTTGCTTTTGTGATTTTCTTTCTAAGCCTTTGTGCCATTCCCAGCAACTTATACCAGAAATTCTCCATTGTCCCTTTTCCCTCTGTCCCTCTCCTCCTTTTCTTTTGGTTTGATGGCTTAATTGGGTTTCTTTCTTTTGCAACTGAGGGTACATGACCCATGTGTTAGCTCATTGAACCCCTCCCCAGTACCTTAGAGAGTGGCTATTATTCAACCCATTTATAGATAAGGAAACTGAGGCTCTGGGAAGTGTAGGGGTGCTGCTACCTCTTGGGCTGTCCTGTGAATTAGAAAGGGGCACCTTGTCTGCAGAATACATCCCCAAATGTCTCCCACTGTGAGGTTACTAAAGGCAAAATGACATAGTCTTCCTGGTTCTGGGGAAGAAAGCCCAGAGAGCAGAGCATGTAGAGTTTCAGCTCTGTGTCTTCTAAGCTGGGTACCAAAGAGGGAGGAAAAGGCAGCCTGCCCAAACCTACAGTCTCCATTATGTTCCCTCCTTGGGTCAAAGTTCTAAGTAGTGATAGGGCTGGGGTCTGGGCCCAGTCCTTTGTTTTCTCTTTCCCTTTCCCATCCCCTTTCCCTTTCCCTCTCCCTTTCTCTTTCCCTTTCCCATCCCCTTTCCCTTTCCCTTCCCCATCTCCTTTCCCTTTCCCTTTCCCTCCCCCTTTCCCTTTCCCTCTCCCTTTCTCTTTCCCTTTCCCTCTCCCTTTCTCTTTCCCATCCCCTTTCCCTTTCCCTTCCCCATCCCCTTTCCCTTTCCCTTTCCCATCCCCTTTCCCTTTCCCTCTCCCTTTCTCTTTCCCATCCCCTTTCCCTTTCCCTTCCCCATCCCCTTTCCCTTTCCCTTTCTCATCCCCTTTCCCTTTCCCTTTCCCTCCCCCTTTCCCTTTCCCTCTCCCTTTCTCTTTCCCTTTCCCTCTCCCTTTCCCTTTCCCTTCCCCTTCCCCTTTCCCTTTCTCATCCCCTTTCCCTTTCCCTTTCCCTCCCCGTTTCCCTTTCCCTTTCCCTCTCCCTCTCCCTTTCTCTTTCCCTTTCCCTCTCCCTTTCTCTTTCTCTTTCCCTTTCCCATCCCCTTTCCTTTTCCCTTTCCCTTTCCCTCTCCCTTTCTCTTTCCCTTTCCCATCCCCTTTCCCTTTCCCTCTCCCTTTCTCTTTCCCTCCCCCTTTCCCTTTCCCTCTCCCTCTCCCTTTCCCTTTCCCATCCCCTTTCCCTTTCCCATTCATTTCCCCCCTTCTTCTTCCCTACTCTCCTCTTCTTTCCTATTCCCCTTCCCTTCTCCTTCCTCTTCCCGCCCCCTTCCCTTCTCCAGCACTGTACTATGTTACTAGAAAATGAATGTGCCTGTACCATTGCTTATTTAAGTGTCTATGCATGGATGTTTATGAATGTGTATTCTTAGTACATCATGCTGTGCCTGTACTTTCAGTAACTGGGGATGGGATGAATGGAAGAATGACTAAGTGAATGAACTGTTTCCTCAAATAGATTATAGTCACATGACCAGTAGGGGCTGTGGTTGACATTACATAGACACCTCTATGTTCCGATTTGCTTTAGTCACTCAGTAAAGATACCTCGTCAGTGGTGAGGGCGATTCTGTGTTCTAGTTGCTGCCAGAGTTTGGCATGTGCCACGGTTTTGTGATGAGAAATTTCCATGGAGGATGTAGAGCTTGGCTGAGTCCTGAAGAGTAACATTCTACAGAGATAGGAAGGGCATCAGTCCTTAGGTGAAGAATCTCTGGGCGAAAGGGGCATGGTGGGTTTTTAGACAGTCTGAAAACCAGTCCCGACAGTCAGAGGAGTGACTTCTAATGAGACTGACTGAAAGCCGTGCCAGCCTCGTGTTCAGCTCCATCATATGCCACAAACCCAGACCCCTGTTTACAGAGAAGAACTGGAAGCCAATGACACGGAACCTACTCACCACAGTTCCCTGGGAATACAACGACACCAGCGACCATCAGTGTCCTTCAAAGCTAAGAACTTGCAGGCCTGTCACAGGTATCCTATCATTGAAACTGCCCCAGCATGCACCTAGGGTTTCAGGCTCAGTGAAAGCGTGGGGATGGAGGAAGAGAAAGGGGAACACAGGGCGACTTAGTTCACAGGCCAGCCTCCTTCCAGCCTGCATCAGACCTCTACATAACTCTAGACTGATGCTGGAGGGGGCAGGCTCACAGCACAAGAATGTAAGTCCAGTACATTTTATGTGAAAGCCCAAACTTCCCTGACAATTGCTAATCAAACTCAAACCAAAACAATGTTACATACCCTCATACTCTGAATCAGGGGAGATGAAAACGTTGTGCCTTCAGAAATGGCTCTTTCTCCTGGGTGGTTCCATGGAGTAAGACCTGCTGGTCCCAGGTACCAGCCACACTAGCTCCCACCACTAAGAGTAGAAAGGATGAGGCTCCCTCTCCCCCTCTCCTTCCCTACCTCCTCCCCTCCCCCGCTGTGCCTGCCTGCCTGTTGATTTTATTATCCTAGTTACTTTCTTTTTAACAAGGCATCATAACTTCTCAACCTGATTAGAAGATTGGCCTGTTGTTACAGTAAAAACAAACCCAATCTAGTCTATACTAGTTTAAGCAGGAAATGGGACTGTATGAGGACATAAAGATGCCTGTGAGAACTCAGTGGGGAGCACATGTCTGGTCCTGAGTGGACCAGAGTGGCAATAAGAATCTCCCTCCCTCCCTCCCTTCCTCCCTCCCTTTCTCTCTCTCTCTCTCTCTCTCTCTCTCTCTCTCTCTCTCTCTCTCTCTCTCTCTCTCTCTCTCTCTCTCTCTCCTTTCTTATCCTCCTATCCCTCTTCCCTTTCTCCCCATCTTCTCTCGCCTTTCCTCTTCCTCTTTTCCCTTCTTCTCCTTCATCCCCCACCCTGTTTCATGAAAGACCAAGAGCACAAATTAAATAAAGATCTAGACATCTTAAGAGAATAACTTTCCCTTAGTGCCAGTCCATGCTTCCTGGGAAGGATCTCCGCCTCATAGCACTTTTTCTTACAAGACTGTCATATTCAGAGGCCTGTGAAAGGTACTCACCCGTAGTCATGGAGGTACTGCATGTTATCCTGTTGCTGGACTAAAGGGTGTCACAGTCAGAATTTGAACTGTGCCCTCATTGGCTCATCTTTTGAAAACTGTGGAACCTTCATGACATGGGACCTTACTAGCAGAGGCAGGTCAGTGGGAATGGGCCTTTGATGGTTCTGGCCTAGCCCCTAGCTCTGGCCACTCTTCCACTGTGTGAACAAGTCTCCACCTCACTTGAGCCCCACCTACCCCAGTGTAATGGACCGAGGCTCTTTGAAGCCATGGACTAAAAGAAATCTCCCAGAAGCTGTTTCTCTTAGATGCTGTGGTCATAGGAACTAGGAAATGGCTGTCATGGGTGTGTTGTTAAGGGAGACCACTGTAAATTAGCAAGGACCCTAAAGGTGTCCAGGACGGGTGACACTGCAGCAAGGGAAGAAGCTGCCACTGTACCCTCTATCCAAGCCAGCCCCTTCACAGCACATGGACCAAGGGAATGGCACCAGGAGCAGGCCATGAAAAATTCATTAAATGCCCGCCTCTCCT